CTTTTGAACACTATTCCTTCACTCTATAAGAGTTTCAATGTATTTGGTGATAGATTTCATAAGGCCACATTGTAAATTTGGTCCATTTAAATGTTGCACCTCACATTAGGCCCTTGAGAAGAGAACCAGAAGTCCGCAGACCCCAATTGACCTGAAATTTGGGTTTTTCCCTTTTTACCATCAAGCCTTCTTATCATAAAGGCTTCAAAAATTCATCCACGGATTTCATAGTGTTTTTTTGTAAACTGGGGATTGATTTCGACACCCAAAGTAGGCTTTTAACTTTGTGCAACCAGATCTTGGTTATCCATTGTTGGATGGAAAATTTTTTAATGGGCACCCTTGAGGTACCTTGGATTAAAAATCCGATGGTCAAGTTACAGTTTTGAGTAGGTTTGACCAAGGTTTGACCAAGGTTTGACCGTGCTTTTTTTGGTTCATCCCATTGCCATCTTAAACATGCAACTAGCTCAAATTTTCATTGTTTTTTAACCAAGGGCTTTGTCTCATTCATCTCAAAGGGCATTGTCAGTCTTGAGCTCGATCTAGGGTTGATTTCCTCGACTATACCAAGTTCTAATGATTCTCGCAGTATTTAGATAGTTATTGTGTCGGGTTTTTATTTGGATGATTGTCTTGGTGGGTTGCATTTGGTGGGCCACCATTTTAGCTTATTTCTTTGATTAAGGGCGAACCATTTGAAGGTAAATGTGGGGTTTCACCTCCTCAAGACTGTAGTCTAGCATTGTGCTTCATAGTTACAACAACTACCTCTCAATGATTTTATTTTGCATAAAAACACCCCCAAACAATATCGACTGCCCCAATGGGCCTAGCGTACATGTATGACATCTCTGCTCTCGATTTGGTCTCCAAAATCTTCCATAAACTTTTGGAAGATTGTATGTTATGGATCTATTTTAAAGGGACTTTAACTGGATTTGACCTTAGAAGTCCTACTCGCAAACTAATTGGAAGTTCTAATCTTAATCAGATGAGAGCCAAATTGAAAGCCATATAATGCCCCTGTGCAACTCCAAAATCATACCCAAAATCATAGAGATATTCCTTAGAAATTAGAGAAAATCCCTTAGGGCCCTTTTGGTGCTTTGGATTCGAATTTCTAGGAGTCACTTTTCCTAGAAAAGACCAGGCCAATTGTGTTTGGTTCTCTTAGAATTGACATTTCTGTTGGAATTGAGATTTTCTTGGGATTTCTGAATGTTTATTTAAGCTTAAATTTTGGAAATCTCAATTCTACCAAAATAGGTGGAATTGCCATTTCATTAAAATGACCAATTTTTTCATGGACCCATCACCGCCCTTTGGTAAGTTAGATTGAATAAATTTTATGAGGTCCGTAGGCTTCTCCAACCTTAGCAATTGAGGGTCTTTTATCTGGGAATGAAACGAAACCCTAGTGCCACTAAGAACCTCTGCTATTTGTTGCTGAAGAACGAAAAACATATTAAAAATTATAAAGAAGGAAACTATATTAAATTTTAGATAGAGAAAACATAGTAAAATTTTAGAGAAGGAAACTATATGGAAGTTTAGAGAGAGAAAGTACATGAAATTTTTTATAGAGAGAAAATACATAAAATTTTTAGAGAGAGTAACTGTTTCAAATTTAAAGTTTTAGAGAGAGTATCTTAATATTTTAAAAAGAGAAATTATCTCAAATCGTAAGTTTTAGAGAGAGAAAGTGTCTTAAAAATTTAGAAAGAGAAACTACATTAAATTTTAGAGAGAGAAGCAACTTAAAAAAATTTGAAAAAAATTATCTCAATACTTTTAGAGAAAGAAACTACCTCAAAGTTTAAATTTTAGAGAATGTGCATATTAAAATTTTTGAGATAGAAACTATATAAAATTTTAGATAAAGAGATAAGCTATCTCAAATTTGAAGTTTTAGAGAGAAAAAAATCTTAAAACTTTAGAGACAGAGAAACTATATCAAATTTTAGATAGAGAAAGTACTTGAAATTTTTAGAGAGAGACTAAATTTTTAGATAGAGAAACTATCTCAAATTCTAAGTTTTAGTGAGAGAAAGTATATTAAAATTTCAGAGAAAGAAACCACCTGAAAATTTTAGAGAGAGAAACTATCTCAAAATTTTAGTTTTAGAGAGAAAATATCTTAAAATTTTAGCAAGAGTAAATATATCAAATTTTAGAATGAGAAAATACCTAAAATTTCTTAGAGAGAAAAATTATCTCAAAATTTTAAGAAAGAAACTCTCACATTTTAAGTTTTAGAAAGAGAAAGTACCTTAAACTTTTAGAGAATGAAACTATATCATATTTTAAAGAGAGAAACTACTTGAATTTTTTTAGCGAGAGAAACTATCTAAAATTTTTTAAAGAGATTTCAAAGAGAGAAAGTATCTCAAAATTTTAGAGAGAGAAACTATATCAAATTTTAGAAAGAAAAAATATCTAAATTTTTTAGAGAGAGAAACTACCTCAACATTTTTAGAGAGATAAACTATTTCAAATTTTAAGTTTTTGAAAGAGTAAGTGTATTAAAAGTTTAAAAAAAACCATATCAAATTTTAAAGAGAGAAACTATCTCAAAATTTGTATAGAGAGACAATCCCAAATTTTGAGTTTTAGGTAGATAGAGTATATCAAATTTTGTTGTCAAACAATGGACATGAAAACTGACTGTAAATAATAAGTGAATTTTGTATTGTATATCCAAACAAGATATTCAAGGAATCCATTACCAGAATCTTAGATATTGGTTCATAGATTTTCTTGGATTTCAAATATTCAAAATTCCTAATTTCTTCTTATCCAAACGGGTCCGTATTAGTTTTTTCTCCCTTTGTTGAAGAGAATTTTATTGTTACAAATTAAAATTGGGTTTCTTGTTCCTACACTGTTTTCTCACTCTAGAACTTTTCTCACTTTGCTAGCGGAAACTTGACTTGCATCACTCGTTTCCCTTTCTTTCTTCGGATGGGTGCTTGTTTCTCTTTCCTACTTGAGTAGAGATTTGACTTAGAAGTGAAGTGTTTCAAGAGTTGATAGTCATTTGCAAATGTTTATGGATGTTATGCGGAAGAGAGAGAGAGAGAGACAGAGCTTCTCTAATTACATTTGTTGGTGTTATTTTAGAGAAAGAGAGAGAGATATACGCAACTGGCTTGGTGTTTGAAAGAGGAGGAAGACTCATTTCTTGATGGCATGGAGGAAAAGAGGAGAGAGAGAGAGAGAGGATTTGCATTTTCAGGAAAAACATATTCTAGGCAATCCAAACAATGAATTTGTATTTTCGTAATTTCTACCAAATACAATCCAAACGGTATACACCAGATTATAGGAAATGCCAATTCCAGTAAATACCAATTCCGGGATAAACTTTTCCGTAGGGTTGAAAATCCAGGGAACCAAACGGGCCCTTAGATTATAGCAAACCCTAGAAACTTTAGAGCCTTGAGAAACCCTAGGTCTAAAAACCTTAATTCTCTTTGACCATCAAACCTTAATCTCAAAATAAAAAATCTTATGATGAATATTACTCTAAGCAAATCAAAACCCTCAGGAAGAACATGGCTTAGGTATTTTCCAAATTCAAGCAAAGTTGCCAGAGGGCCTTGAGTCAAAGTAAATCTTTTTTTTCTTTAATTTTCAGTCGATTTCTCTTTCTTTTATTTCTTTTATGTTTTATTGGTTTTTTTTATGGGTTTTTGTGTAATTTCAAGTTAGCTGTGTTGACTGTGCGTGAAGAGAAGATATGTTTTTGCAGATCCATATTCTCTGCAATTCAACATATCCTACTATTCTCTATTAATAATTTTAATTGTTTAGTTTGAAGCATAAATTAGAGAAAGTTTAGTTAAAGATGTTCCTAAATTTGGCTGGAAACACTATATAGTTTAATTGCTTTCCCCGTGTTTGTTCCATAAGAAAGCACTATCCTAAAATGCAACTCAAATTGGGCCTCTATGCAATTGCACTATTATATGGGGTAAAGCCTATTCCCATCTAGTCAGGCACAAAAGCACTTTCGTGTTCGAGAAAAGGCTCCTCTCTATATGATAACTGGAGATATCTTTTCATCCAAACAAACGTGCAATGTTGGACTGTCTTCCTCTTGGTTAAACGTGAAATGTTAAGACTGTCTTCCTCCTGGTGGGGGAAAGAAAAAGAAGCGGGCTTAAAAGAGAAAACCTGGGAAAGCAAGTAAATTCTACTGTCCTCCGTTTCAAAAAAAGAATAACGGAGAGTGCGTAAAATCAGCCACCATTTTTTAGTCTAAAAAACAACGACAAACATTACTCAAATTAACCGCTTAATCTTAAGCCTCATCTTATGCTGGATCACTAAGGATGGGGTTTCTACGAGTCCCCCGCCTCACGTTTACATTTGTCCCCCCGTTAAAGCGCTCTTAGAGGATTTTTAATTTAAAGTATTAAAAGAACTTTAAAAAAAAAGAAAACTTATTAGCTGCCTTTATAATTTTTGCTCTTTTTTAAGATTCATTAATAAAGTACTCTTGTAAAATAAAAAATAAAAATTTTAGATTTCAAAAGTGTTTTTTTCAAAGTTTTTATAGGGCTTAGGTTTTATGAAAACAAAGTACAGCTCACCATAAAAAGCACTTTGGGTATCGGAAATTTTCGTGTAGACTCTAAAATCAATTTTTAATACCAACTATTAAATTTGAAACTACAAAAAAATAGTGGACACTTATTTTTAGATAGAAATAGATGGTTTAGATAACTTGTTACAATGCTACTATTTATTAGTTTTTAAATCATTAATTTTTTTTATGACCATAGAGATGATAGATTTGAAAGTTTTTCAAGTATGAGAAGTGCAAATTTTGCTAAGTTTTGCCGGATGATATAACATTATTCGTTGTTCCTCAACTCAATCGTACTCAAATCAAGAGAGCGAATGCGCGTCTTGTACCATACACAACCTGTGTATAGCACACACCCTCGGGCTCCCGTCCCAAAAGTTAGTAATAACAGTAGCCGGGCGGGCGGCCGGGCGTGTGGCCGGGCGTGCGTCCGTCCGATAAAAATAGAAGAAAGAGCGAGAGGAGGAGAGGGGAGGGAGAAATATGCAGAACATTGTGCTCGGTTGTAACGGGGTGATGGCCGCCCCTTCTCTAGCACCTATTTCTGCATTATTTTCCACCGGAGACCTGATTTCTCGGCGCCCATTATCCACTTTTGGGCCGCTTTTTCCGGCCACTCTCTCAGTCCAGCGTCCACTGTCCACCCCCCTCTCCTTTCTCCAAGCTCCTCCTCTTTCTTCTCTGTGTTCTTCTTGTTCGATCGAAAGGAGAGATACGGTCGCCATGAGTTCGTCGTCGTATACTTCAACTTCTCCTGAAGAAGATCCTGACATGGCAAAGCTCGCTCAGGTTCTTCTTCCCCTTTTAGTTCACCCCTCTACTTCTTGTTTATGCATTTTGCTCCTCTTTTTTTTTGAAACTGGTTCGCTTCATTTTGCTCCTCTTTTTGTTCCAGGGAATTTGTAATGCGTAATATAGTGAAATTTGTAGCCGCATTTTTTGCTCTTTATTTTTGTTTCCTTTTTTTTTTGGGCTGTGGTTATGGAGTTATGACTTTTTAATGAGGTTTTATTTTGATTCAAAAGTTGTTAATTGGTTTGCTTTACCGTGCCTCATTGCTCTGAATCTTTGTGAAATTAATGGAAATATAAGTAGTGGAGAAGATTGTTTGCATTTTCATTTAATTCTTTGTGGTGCCTCCTTGCTTGATCAAGTCAGTAGGGATGTTTGTAACTTGGTTGCTGATGTGCATTTTTCACGTGATTGTAGTTGTCGATAGATTTTAGTCACATATGGACCTGAAAGTTACAAAACTGGTTTGAAAAGAGACCCCATGCTGTGTAAAGAATTTGAAAGGTGGGATTGAATCCCTACTGTTTATTCACACAATTCTATCACCTACCCAGCTGAAGTTTCCTTTCTCTATCATTTCGTCTATATTTTTCTAAAAAAATTGAGGATAGCTTTATTTATTAACTGCTGAACATAGGAAAGCTTGTGGAAAATAGTAGGTATTGCATCATTTGTGGAAATACTGGTGGCAAACATTAAAATATGATTGCTAGCCATGCAGGATAATTTTGTCTCCTTAGGTATAATGAATGAAATTGACTGGAGTTCAACTAAAATTTGCTGGGTTTAGAGTTACGCAACAGAAAATTATATGCACACAAGACACAACCATGACTTGTGCAAAATCTGAAACACGCAAGCGAAACCATGCAAACAGAAGAAACCAAAGCACACAAACATCTGGAGAGTGGAAACTCCTTTTTATTAACGATGAAATAATGATGAACCATCTCTCATGGTGACGCACCACACAACGTGCTTCTCTCTCCTCTATATCTCTTCCTTGTTCTCTCAATGCCTCATGTTCTCTCAATGCCTCATGTTCTCTCAATGCCTCATGTTCTCTTTCACTTGTTCACCTCATGGCAATGCTTCACATCACAGTTTTCCCTCTCCCTCTTTATATAGAACCTATTAAAAGAGATAAGTACTAATGAATTACATCTATCTTAATCTAATGAGGACTCCAATTTCATCACGTGCGAGTCATTACCAATGTAATACGAACTCCTATTCATCTATGGAATCTTCTTCCATTTGTTAGGGAATCCTAACAAACTACCAAGACTTTGTTGGAACATTATCAAATCAGCGATGATCTTCATCAAGAACATTGAGCTTTCGCATATCTGTCGGCAAAGAGTGATGTTGCAATTGAAACAGCTGTGAAACAGTGAGCAGTCAGCTTAACCGTGGCCAAAGCAAATAGAAACTTTTACGCCCCAATTTCTAAGATGTTTTGCACTTCTTGGGAGGCACATTCCTTACTCTTCTATAAGTCGGTGATACTCCTTTAACTGCTTGCAGATTGAATATTGTCTTAGCTGTGGTGAGAAATTGCTTTAACCATGGCCAAAGCAACAACTCTATTACATAGGAAATTGCAGCGAAGTATCTGGGGGTGTCTTAATGTTAGCTTTTTCCTTTGTAGTATATATATGAGTGTATAAGGTTGCGACCTTAAACAATCCAAGTAGGTGCGCCTCCAAATTTTATCGTAAGATGTCATTTTGGTGTAAAAAATTCTAGGATGGCCTTATAATCCATTTTCATCTCTAATTATGATTTTTCAAATTCCAAAAAAATGGTTCAAATCAAGTAGATCTATAAACACATAAAATTCTTGAAAATGGGTGGTCTAGATAATGTGTTGCCAGATGCACTTCTTTTGAGGCTTGAAATTTTTTTTGTCACATATTCATACATCTTGATGTCGAGATGTTCAATTAGAGGGTTTTCCAACATCAAAGAAACCGTTTCCGATGGATTTTTGAGGTGCACCTTAATTTTACATTTTAAGGTTGCGACCTTATATAAACATTTTCCTATATATATGTATATGTATGCATGTGGTTATATTCTAGGTTCTCTAATTGGTATAAACCATTGTTGTTAGGATTGGGAGAAGGACTGGGAGTGGGAGCGGGATCGGGATTTGGAGCGAGGGATTGTTAAATGCTAGAAGAACCTAATGGTTTGGAGGGCTGTCATACAATTCATACATTAGGGATCTAGATTCCCAAATGTCACTGCCTTTTGAGGATTTTCAATCCTGACCTTTTGGGATCTTGATCCCGATCTTTTGGATCTTACTCCAACTTATAGAATGTATACATAATCCAAGACTATAAAAACTCTTGAAAGTGGGAATCTCTTTATTTATAAACCAGCAAGCAATGCAACTATATTAAGAGTGTAATTACGTTGCTAGTTTGTTATAAATTAAGAAAATCATAAGTTTAGTTATTATCTTGGTCTTTGACGTTGGGATTGAGATCCCTTATAGTAGGAATCGTCAATTCCAGCAACACCATGCCCATTATATCCCCTAGCTCATCTCGAATCTTTCTTGACAGTGTCCAAACGGACTCCATGACCTCTGTCGACTCCATTTTTGTTTATGACATGGATTGTGCTCAAGGAGACGCCGACGAAGTTTTAAAGGTTATGGGCTTCAAATTCAATGGCCCCAGGGAGGTTTTGGAAGACTTCATTACTGCTGATACAAAATCACCCTTCAATGCCCAGATAAAGGGCAAAAGAGAACTGTCCAACCTCTTCACTTTCGAGGTAAACTACGACAAAGGACAATCATTGGCTCTCCCTCAATCGTCACCTGCTAACCTAAGTTCTACAGCCAAGTCTCATCCAAGGCTCCTTACAAGGCGCACCAACCAATCCCACCCCTCCCAATGATGATCGTAATGTGGAACATCCGTGGCTTGGGCCACCCACAAAAAGGAAGTGTGGTTCGAGATATCTGAACCAAGTATTCTCCCTCCCTCCTTACCTTAATTGAAACTATCGCCCACCTTCCTTGCCGGCAGTATTTGGGGATTTAGGCCTTGTAGGTGGATTACCCTCGAGGCAATTTGAGCCTCGAGTGGTATTTGGGTACTCTGGGAGGCTGGCACCCCACCCTACATGATTTACAAGACTTTACTATCGACAAATTCTCGGCCATGATTATCCTCTCAAGACTATCTGACGAGCTGCCATGGAAATGCTCCACAGTGTATGGCCCCAATTCCGATAGCCTAAGACCGTCCTTCTGGGCAGAACTGCAAACCGTAGCGTCCAGAGCCCCTGCCACTTGGTGTCTAGTTGGGGACTTCAATGTTCCCTGATGGTCCTATGATCGCAACTCCAACCAATCCATCTTACCGTCTATCGTTCAAGTTTTTGACTTTAGTTTCCGACATCAACTAATCGACATTCCTCTTGAGGGGTCTCAGTTTACCTGGTCTAACCACTCCCTCAACCCCTCTCTCTCTTCAAACTTGACCGTTCTATCATTTCTTTAGAACAAGACTACACCTTCGCGGGCACCCACTCCACTATGCAACCTAAACCAACCTCGAACCATCGCCCCATACTCCTAGACACCCAAGCTGTCTCTGGGGGTCAAAAGCCCTTTCGGTTCGAGTATTGGTGGATCGATGAATCCAATCTTAAAGAATTTGTGACATCCTCTTGGAATTCCTTCCAACCTTTGGTTCATGGATGGGTGGGGTTCCGAGTCCAAAGGAAACTCAGATGCTGAAATCCTCATTGGAAATTTGGAAGTCCTAACATCCAAGGAACTTTCGCTCACAAAAGGAAGCCCTACTTCAAGCAATTCATGAGTGGGATGTTGTGGAGGAGACTAGGCCACTGCTCCGAGTTGAATACAAGCGTAGATCCAAGGCCAAATTTGACTATCAGTTATTCCTCCATAAGGAGGAGATCTACTGGTCTTAGAGAGCCAAGGTCAGGTGGTTGAAGCTGGGAGACCTGAACACTTGTTTCTTCCACAAGATAGCAAACTGTAAAAGGCAAGAGAACTCGATCACCCACTTGAAAGTTGATAACTCAGTTATTGATCAACCCTACCGCATCGAGCAAGCAGCATCACTCTTCTTTTCCAATCTCTTCTCTTGCTTTTCTTGGGCGAGACCCATCATGCATGACCTTGCCTTCCTTACCCTGCCTCCCAAAAAAGCTACTTGGTTGGAACGTCCATTCTCAAAGTCTGAAATCCTCAAGGCCTTATATGACTTGAGCTTTGATCGTGCCCCTGGCCTAGACAGGTATCCTATGCCGTTTTTCAAATCTTCTGGGAAGTTGCATTCACCCTGAATTCTTTGCTGAATTCCACTTTGGCAGGTGATTAACAAAGCCATGAATGCAACCTTTATCGCACTCATTCCAAAATTTGTAGCGGTTGAAGAATTAAAGGACTTTAGGCCCATCAGTTGGGTCAGCAGTTCTTATAAACTGCTCTCCAAAGTCCTTGCCTCTAGGCTTAGAGTTGTCCTCTCCTCCCTCATTTCTCCCACTCAAGGGGCGTTTGTCAAGGGCCATCAGATTTTGGATAGAGCTCTAATTGTCCATGAATGTATCCACTTCTACTTCTTAGCTAAGACCTTGGGTCTTGTCATAAAATTAGATTGGGAGAAAGCTTATAATCATGTGGATTGGTTAGTTCTTGATGAAATCCGTAGAAGGATGGCTTTCGGACCTAAGTGGAGAAACTGGATTAGAGGGTGCATCTCCAACCCCTTCTTCTCTATTCTCATTAATGGGACACCTAAGGGCTTCTTCTTGGCTAGCAGAGGTCTTTGTCAAGGGGACCCTTTGTCACCATTCTTGTTTGCGATCATGGCTGAGGTCTTTAGCACCTCAATCTCGAGACTTTACTAAGTAGGCCTCTTGAGAGGATTCCAATCAAGTAATCAAGGTCCGTTCATATCCCACCTGCAATACGTGGATGACACCCTCGTCTTCTACGACTCCTC